AGAGGTAGCGGAGGAGGCAGCAGGCCGTAGCTCTTCTTCTTCCGGTCGCCCTTGGCCTTGGGGGGCCGTGGCTTCCCCCTGCCATCCTCTGTGGGGAGAGAGGAGAGGCTGGTCAGAGCCAGAGCTGGGCATGCACAAGGTCCTAGGAGGTGGCCAGGCTGCTCCGTAAGCCCCAGCTGAAGGCCACATGCCAGCCTGAAGCCCACCCAGCAAGAGGTGGCTGGGGAAGGCCAGGGGCCCCCTCTGGCCCAGAAAGGCTCCCCCAAACACTGGCGGGCCTCGGGCACTTTCAGATTCTTACAGGGTCACTGCGCCAGGCAGCTGGACACCTCTGCTCCTTGTAAGAATCTGGGCCTAGGAGCAGCGCCCACCCTGGGCTGGAAGCACCTTCCAGAAGTAGCATCAAGGGAGGAAGGTGGGTTTTTAAAAAGCAGCTGGGAAGAGATGCTTCTCAGGCTGGTGGGCTCCTGCGCAGGTGGGCCCACACCAAGTGTCATCCCCAGGGCTGGGGGATGGGGAGAGGCGGAATCTGTTCTCATGAACCTGAATCTTGTGTATTTCTACAGTGAATGCATGCAGCTTGTAGAAGTTTTCAAAAGCAAAACTTCAAACAAACCACAGGTGAGTTGGTACCTGAGTGGAACAGAAAGTGCCAGAATGGGCCTGGAGGCCCTGGAAGGCCCTCTGCCCCAAAACCCTCAGAGGCCAGTGCGGGGGAGTTCCCTGACAGGTGACAGGTGAAGGGGCCGGGAGACGTGTCTTTGGTGGCATTTTAATCCAAACCACAGGTGAGTTGGTACCTGAGTGGAACAGAAAGTGCCAGAATGGGCCTGGAGGCCCCGGAAGGCCCTTTGCCCCAAAACCCTCAGAGGCCAGTGCGGGGGAGTTCCCTGACAGGTGACAGGTGAAGGGGCCGGGAGACGTGTCTTTGGTGGCATTTTAATTTGGGGCCAGGATGGGTGAGCAGTAAATCAGATAAAACAGATGGGCAGTGTGGTTGGCAGAACCATGACCCCCAAAGATGTCCACGTCTTAACTCTCATGGATATGTGAACATGTCACCTCCCAAGGCAGAAGGGACTCTGCATATGGGATGAAGGGTCTTGAGATGGGAGATAATCCTGGATTACCGGGGGCCCAGTGTCCTCACAAGAGGGAGGCAGGAGTGTCAGAGGCAGAGACTAGAAGATGCTGTGCTGCTGGCTTTGCAGACAGAGGAAGGGGCCACACGCCGAGGGCTGCAGACACCTCTAGAAGCTGGGAAAGGAGGACCCAGGTCCTGCCCTGGAGCCTCCAGGAGGGACCAGCCCTGCCCACACCTTGACTTTAGCTCAGTGAGACCCGTGTTAGACTCTGCCCTCCAGATCTGTGAGAGGATAAATCTGTGTTGTTTTAAGCCACTAGGTGTGGTCATTTGTTACAGGGGCCACAGGAAGCTCATGCAAGTGGTGGTGTTTGAGGGCTGAGTTTGGGGTGAGGTGTGGCATGGCACCTCGGGTCCCTGCCCTCAAGGAAGACCAGTCTGGTGACCCACTGTACTGCTGACCCTGGGTGCTTGCCTGCTCCTCCTGCAGAATGGGGACACTAGCTCAGGCCTCTCTGTGTGTCTCCAGGTTCCAGGGTGACAGTGGCTGATAACCAGGGGCCCCACTATCCGGGTCTCCCTGGGACCCATGAGCTCCCGGGCTTCAGGACTTTCAGTACTAAAACTGGAAGGTCCCAGGCAAGCTGGGACGAGGCTGGCTGTCGTGTTAACAGCGCTCAGTCAGGGCCCATGGCGCCTGCAGCTCACTGCCTCACAACCAGGCTGGGAAAGGAAGAAACCTCAAGGAAAAGGAACCCTTCTCTCTCCACACTGAATGGGTGGTGACATGACGATCAGCAAGGTCTAGCGTGAGACACGGCACCCCGTTTACCTCTTCTATAAAAACCATCCGCAGGCCAGCCCTTATCCCACAGCTGCCGACAGACAGCAGTGAAATGAAGCGCCCCAGGGCAAGGTGTACCACCCAATCCTTGACCCACACTGACCCCAGGGCAGGGTCACGTGAGGAGGAAGCCACATTGCCTGACTCCCTCCACTCGGGGCTTCCAGCCTGCAGGTTCCACCAAGCGAGCCCCCCAGAGGCTCTGGGCCAGCCCTGTGCACCCACAGGATTGGAGGGGCCTCCTCCTCTCCTCCCCCACCCAACTCCCAGCACATCCTGGCCCCCATCTTCAGGCTGCAACTCAAGCCAACTACCAGGATAGCCCACAGTAGCCTTGGCAAGCACATGCCCCACACCCGCCCGTTTTTCAAGAGAGACTAGCCATTAGCTTATGATCAGCCAGAAGGTGAGGCTGTGCTCACCGCACCCTGGCTCATGCCCCCTTTGGTCCTAGGCACTCCAGGGACACCGGTTAGGACTCCTCCCACGCCTGTGCCTCACCAGGAGGAGGCTTGAGTGCCCCCTGGGGTCCACATGTGGAGCATCATCTCCCTCTGACCCCTAGTTACCTGGCAGAGGAAGGTAAATAGCAGACACCAGCCCTTGCCTGGTTTAGGAAGAAACTGTTTCTCCCCCGTGGATGCTGGAGCTGGACGGCTCCCCTCCCCAGCGGGCTGGGGAGCAGAGTTACCTGGTAATGACGATTTATGAAGAGCTCCCGAGTCACGCTGCCCGCCCCACAGGACGCAGCCTGGAAGTGTGGGGTGGGAGGTGACAGAGCCGCATGCTGGTCCCACAGTGCCAGTGGGAAGGCCACTTCTACCAATTCCTAGAAACAGCGACGAGGCTGGCCCAAAGAGCACTGTCCTATCTGTAAAAGCCACTTTCAGAAAAATGGCTTTCTTTCTCTAAGGAAATTCAACATTCCTTCCTCCACGGCAGAGCAAACATGCTGAGTGGAAATCGAGCTGACGTTGCCCCCCTCTTGGGACAGCGACCCTATTCACCCTCCACGCCGGACCAGGACCCAGCCACCTCCGCCCCCTTGCCAGCCTGGTTGTTGTATTCAACTTCCTGTAGGTGTAGGGCTGGCAGGGGCTGGCATGGGATCCTGCCTAGGAGGAGCACAGGTGGGGGTTGATGGTCTGAGGATCCAGAGGGAGAAGATTCCAGAACACAGCCTCATAGCACCCAGGGGTGGGGGGGACACTCAGCAGAGCCCCCACCTCCACTGGCAGCACAGGAGCTGCTGCGTGGGAGCTCCAGCATGTCCCACCTGCTCACACATGCCACGCAGCTCTGAGCACATGGGGCACCGGCTAGAGCTGTGGGCACGGGGACAGAGCAGGGGTGTCTGCACATGTGACCATGCAGGTCTGTGTTTGGCGGGGAATGTGGGGAGTCCTCGCCCACCCCATGGGGTTCCTGTTTTCCAGCCTCCTGCCTCCAAATGGGAAAGTGAATTCACCAAAGGCCCAGGGCCTCCTGTGAGAGGAGGGGCTGCTGGGGACAACTCCTTGTGCTGTTCTTGGAAGAAGAGCCAAAGAAGAACTGGGGACTCGATGGGGAAGGTGCCTTTGCCATGTGAGTACAAATGGGAAGGAACAAGCCCCTTCTCTAGCCTCCTGTGAGAGGAGGGGCTGCTGGGGACAACTCCTTGTGCTGTTCTTGGAAGAAGAGCCGAAGAAGAACTGGGGACTCGATGGGGAAGGTGCCTGTGCCATGTGAGTACGAATGGGAAGGAACAAGCCCCTTCTCTAGATCCTCAGAGACTCCCTGAGCCTGAGGCCTTGGGTGGGACCGGGCAGATTCTGAAATAAAAATCAATTAATGAAGACAGCCACTTCCTTGCTGCCGACACCATGGCCTGACCGCACAGCCTGGACTCACACGGAAGGGTTGGGGATGGGGGTCAAGCCCCCAAATCTAAGCCTGCGTCTCTCTTTTTCCACCTCCTTGTCTACCCCAACAGCTTGCCCCTCCCCTTCAAGACCAAGCGCCGCTGCTCACACATTCTGGTCCACGAGGAGGGCAGTTCCACATGGTTCAGCCTCAGGTGGCCACAAGTCCCCACGGGGCCCAGGCTGGGGCCTCAGCCTATTCTAGTCCCACCCCAGCCAGCCCATCCTGGGGGCAATGGTCACTGCTCCGGCCATCTCTGCTTGCCCCTTGTCGGTCCCTCCAGGGATACCCCACTAAGTCCCCCAATTCCTCAGGCCAGAACCCCAACTGTCCATGCCACTCTCTGCTACTCAGGTCTCCTGGGGTCCCATGTCCTCCAGAACCAAAATCAAATGCTTCCTCATTACTGGAGCCCACCTATAAGAATGCATAATTTAC